AGAAAATGTGAATCTCAGAACATTTGATCATGCTTATATGAAACCTATAATTGGACTAAGAAGCAGACCTCAGAACAGAGCAAGGAAACACTGCATGGTTCAAAATAAGGAAAAGAGTGTGTCAGGGACCCATCCTATCCCCATACCTTTTCAATCTGTATGCAGAACAGATCATTTGGGAACAGGGTTTTCCAAGGACGAGTGTGGCAACAAGATTGGAGGAAGACTCTTTAACAACCTATGATATGCAGAAGACATAACCTTGCTAGATGAAATGAAACTGAAGAAGACCTGAAGCACTTGATGCATAAGGTCAAGGACTGTAGTCTTCAATATGGATTGAAGCTCAACATCAAGAAGACAAAGATTCTCACTACTGGGCCAATTGGCAGCACCATAATAGATGGAGAAGAGATTGAAGTTGTTAACAATTACAGCTTGCTCAGATCCACAATCAACACTCTTAACACCAGCAGTCAAGAAATCAAAAGACAAGGGAAAATCTGCTGTCATGGACCTCTCCAGAATGATGAAAAGCAATGATGTCAGTCTAGATACAAAGTTGCACCTAATCCAGGCTATGGTCTTCTCAATTACTTGCTATGTTTCAGAGTTGGACAATGACTAAGGATGACAGAAGAAGAAGAGATGCCTTCAAGGTGTGGTGTTGGAGAAGAGTCTTGAACATACCATGGACTGCCAAGAAAACAAATAAGTCTGTCTTAAAGAGGTTGAAACCAAGTGTCTCTTTAGAGGCTAGGATTTTGAAGCTCCACCTTACTTACTTTGGGCATGTGGCCAGGAGAGATTGATCCTTGGGGAAGGATATCATGCTTGGAAGGATGGACGGACAGTGCAGGAGAGGAAGACCGCAGATTAGATGGATTGGTACAGTGACCAGAGCAATGGGAGTTGGTGTATCAGAATTAGTGAGACTGGCTCTGGACAGGGAAGGATTCAGAGCTGCTGTATATAAGGTCACTATGCATTGCAAGTGACTCAATCAATAACATTCTACGAAAGGTTTGGAAGTAGGAGTGGTGGCATCCTCTTTTTAACAACTTGCCCCTGGAAATTCTATGAACTTTGATAAATGTTGATGGTTGTATAGGGGCTTCAGGCCTTTTGTTCATAAAGTCACTATGAGTCATACGCGACTCAAAGGCAATCAACAACAACAAAAAAACCACATGACTAGTATTGCTGGTACTTGAAATATCAGTGACAAAGAAATCTGTAAGTCATTCCAGTACAGCAAACTGACAGCTGTGTGTACTTATAATAGCAAACTATGAACAAGCAAACATGCACACACACACACATATTACAAAATAAAAAGCACCAAGCAAGTTACCCTCTCCATACACCAATCTGCCAGGAAAGTGCTGTACCCAAAAAACAAGCAAGTATGCAATTATCTTAAAATAAGCATGCATGTTATGGAAAAGGTATGTTAAGGATGTGATAAAATATGGAGTACTCAGCCTAGGACAGAGTTTCTGCTTGCTTCAGAGAAGCCTAGGTAAGTCTGCCTGGCTAAATATGATGTCTTTTCCAGTCCAGGTGATGGGTACCTCCTCGTCAGAGGAGATGCTTTCTCTAATCTGGAGGTTGATTGTAGGACAGGAGTGTGCAAGTCTGCATGGTCTAGGAGGAATGGTTTGCAAGCTTTGGGCTCCAGAAACAAGACATCATGGGTGTTACCTGAGGTAGAGCTGGATCTTGATGAAATGGGGAGCTAGCTGGGTATAGGAGTAGGAGGGTGAGGGTAGGGGGCACTGCAGACCACTTGGTGACTAGTAGGGGTGATGGATACGGGGGACAAGAGGAAGACTGGACATTTTTAGCTGTGTGGATAGTGCTGCTGCCACCATTGCTCTCCCTCATTCGTTTGCCACATGGAGAGCTGTTCAAGATGTCCACACTGCACTGTTTATGGTTCTGTCTTCTCTTACTCCTTCATATTACATAAAGGTACGTGAAAGAAAAATTGATAGACATGCGCACCATATTTTTAGAAAGAGTCTATAGCATAGAGAGGCAAGCTCCCTCTAAGTCAGTTTAATGTGGCTCAAATAATAATAATAACAACATGATTTTCTTTTTTATATGGGAACTAAGGTACGGTGTTTTATACCTTCCATAAATGGATACAAGAAAATAGAGAAAATAAAAATGAAAACAACTAGAGTCAGAGTACTAAATGAAATGTTTATTCCTCAGGTAATCTATGTTTTCATCCATGAGTCGGTTGAACCTTTTTTCTTTCTTCTCTGCTTCCATCACTGCAGGACTTAGCTAAATGGGCCTCTCCTTCCTGAAGTGTTTTTAATAATTGTGGCAGAGAGATATTGACTTGTAGAGGAAGAGGGAGGCCTTGCACTGACCATTAGATATACATTTAAAAGTGACACCGTCATGTATCAAATCCTTGAACTAGCCACCTAGGCCTGCCCCAGCCCAATAGGAGCAGGTTGTGCCATCTTCAGTGTGTCAAAGGAGAGAAGAACTTCTTAGCAAGAAGCACCGAGATCTATCATGTTACCAGTCTAGCGAGCCTAAGATTTACTAAGTTCCTCCATTGTAGGCCTCGTCAAAGAGAGACGTTGACAGATTTCATTACATTTCACATGCTGGTCATTAAAGAAATAAAAAATTCCTCTCCTTCCAAAATTTGTGGAGACATCTTTTTGATCAACAGAGTGAATCTGGGGATCTGTGAGGTAGATGAGCCCTTTTCCATCACCAGTCACCCAGCCTGAAAGAGAAATGAATATATCTGAGTATTAAATTGCCTATAAATTCTAGTAAAGTGTTTCAGAATAATAAAAACCAATCCAGCCCTTATCTATCTACATGTACTTCAGGAGAAAGACGGGCAGTCTCCCTCCATGTGATTTACAGCCTCTGAAAACTTATTGGAGAGTCAGCTATGATTAATTTCTGACTTAAAGGCACAACAACAACAACAACAACAATATCTAAGTATGTATGTATATTAAACTAAAACTCATGATCTTTGAGTTAGAACTGACTCATAGCCCACGGTCCATTGGCTTTCTTCAGCTGTAAATTGCACAGAGGACATTACCCATGTTTTCCCCTTGGAACTACTGGTGGATTCAGAGATGCAGAGAGACTTAGCCTTTGGGTTAGAGATAAACTTCCTAAAGACCAGACTATCACATATATACTGTTGTTGTTGTGTACCATCGAGTGGGAACCGACCCATAGCTGACCCTTCAGTGGGTTTTCAGAGGCAGTTAATTCCACAAGGGGAGAATACCTATCT